CCCTGTGGCGTGCAGCGCGCGGCCGGCGGCACCCCTTCTCCTGCCCGTGCGGAGCCGCCGTTTCACTTCCCGGGGCCTTCTCGCCGCTTTAGATTTTGCTTTAGTTGTAACCGGGCGCCGCGGACTCCGCGAGAGGGCAGGTCCCGCGGAGAGATTTGGGCCCGAGGACGCGAGACGCTCGTAGGACCAGCAGGTGGCGCTGCGCAGAAACCCCGCGTCCGGACCAGAGGGAGCCCTGGGACGCGGGGACGCGAGCCGGTGGCGAAATGCTGCTTATTCTCGTTTAAAAAAAAAAGTCGCCTAGGACGTTCCAATGTATTCATTTTTCTGAAAGGTTGAGCAATTTAATCGGGGGGGGAGGAGGATCTTTTTGGACCCATTTTTCTTAGCCTAGAGCATAGGAAGCTGGAGGAAGAGGTTAAGTAGCATGAGAATCTAAAAACTAGACAAATGGCTTATTTTGTTGCACGCGTGTGGTTTTAAACATCAAAATGTAGGCAGTATCCTCCATTTCATTTTAGTATATACTTTATCTTTTATGGAAATGACGGTATTTTAATAGGTAGTGAAATGAAGAGGGTGGAAGAGCATGCTTCTTGTCTTTTGAAAGAAACATTCTGTGTCAGTACCTTCTTACAAGGCTGTTGCATTTGAGATCTCGTTAACTGTTTATTCAAGGTGAGAAATTTTCAGTGTTCTTAACTATATAGTAGTGTACATTTTCTTATGTTCCTCTGAAATGAATGTATTCAAGGTTCTTATTCATATACATCAATATGTAACCAATTCCTGAAGAGTGCCATATAGCTCAGGGATGCTTACTAAGGTAAGTCAAACCAATATTTTTATAACTTCTTTAAGTGTAGCGATGTTGAGTTGCAAGTTCTCCAGCTTTAAACTTAATCCCCTCTTTATGCTTTCCTTAACCATCCAGTTTTACCTTTTTACTGTACATACCCCATGAACACATAAAGGCAAACATTTGATTCCAGCTTGAAGAAATATGCTTGTTCTAAGCGCTTTAGGCATATTAGCTCACATTAAACTATAATGTAGGGGCTATTATTCCCAGTTTACAGAAGACAGCACAGCTAGACTTGAATCCAGACGGCAACTGTAAGAGTTCATCTAGTCCAATTCTTCATATTTCTATTAAGAAATAAATATAACAGTTAAATTGTTACTGGGGAGACAATGAGGAGAACTCGGTTCTTGTCTTCTTTAGGGAAAGATTTAAATCAAGAGACAAAGTGTAGAAAAGAAAGCAAGAATTTATTGGCCGCACCAAAAATATACTTAGGACAGTGAAACAAGGGCGGGCATAGAAGATGCAACAGGAGAGCGTAGGCTGGGTGCTTTGGCTCACTGGGGAGTCAGAGAGAATGGGGCCTTGGAGACGGGTTAAGGTGGTAAGCCCCAGATGAGCTGCCACTGCCCGTTGCTCCCCTGGTTGCAAGTCTTGTGGGGAGTCCCTTCAGAGGTGAGAAGATGCTAGAGATTGATTGGTGTGCTGGGGGGGCACATTGGGACGTTCGTTCATTTTCAGGGGTTTTAAAGGATGGACATTTAGGGGAAGTATTAGAGGTGGATCAATTGAATATTCACCAGTTTTATGCTGGTGTTCCAAAATGAGGTTTATTCTTAATTTGTCCTTGGGCGTGGTTGGCAAATGGCACTAATTGGATTTCTGTTATCTGTCTCTATGAGTAGAGTATTTAAGCTATCTACCCTCTGGCTGGGAGGAGAAATGCAAACCATTTACCCTTAAGTGTCCTTGGTTTAGGGGAGATAGGATTTACTAGGTAGCTGCAAACTGTTTATCCATCTCAGTTTACCCATTCTGCTTGTCCTGGAATTTTCCTAGCTTCTTACTATGCTATAATAAGATAACTTGCTTAAAGACTTTCTTGCCTGGCCGGGTGTGGCTCAGCTGTTGAGTGTGGACCTAGGATCCAGGCGATCGGGGTTCATTCCCCGTCAGGGCACATGCCCGGGCTGTCGGCTTGATCAATGACTCTCTCATCATTGATGTTTCTATCTCTCTCTCTCCCTCTCCTTTCCTCTCTCTGAAATCAATAAAGATATATTAAAAAAAAAAAAATTAAAGACTTTCTTGTTGAAGATAGGACCAGAATCAGAATACAAGTGTGTTTCCTGATCCATAATATTTTAAATTTAGAAAAAGTTATTCAAAGTTCCTCAGTTCCTCTAGGCACATATTTAGAACAGGGTTGGAAAAGTAGGTTTACAGTTGTAATACAAATACATAACACAATAATTGTTTAAAAAATCATACAAGGATAAGCTCCATATTTCAAGTAATCACAACTGTAAACCTACCATTTCTCACCATTGTAATTTATATTCTGTCTCTTTATCCATCTGCAAGCAAGAAAGGAATTAATCAGTAGGAATTCCAGTAAAACACCCGTCCAGGTTTCCAATTCCCTCTCAGCCATGCCCATAATCTTAGTCATTTCAATTAATTAGGTCAATCTTTCCTTGTCCAAACCCATCTTTACTTCTTTCTTTTATGTCTCATATCCATTTTGCAAATAATCTATTGGTTCTTCCTTTAAAACACACCCAGAATCCAACTGCTTACCACCTCTGCTAAAACCTACTGTGTCTCTTGTCTGGATTATTGCCGTAGCCCAGGGACAGATTTTCTTGCTTCTGTCCTGCTTTCTTTTGAGTCTGTTCCCTACACAGAGGTCAAACTAAACTTATTAAAAAGGAAGTCAGATCCTACCACCCCTCTGTTCAGAATCTTCCCGGGTTTCCCAAAACAAAGGAAAAACCAAAGTCTTTAACGGCTCTAAGACTCCGCTCCTTACCTCTCTGACCTCGCAAACTGCACACTCAGCTTAGTGTTTCAAGACGACTCTACACAAGCTCTCAGGCTCTGTCTAGTCGCGGCAGTTGCTTTGCCTCTGCTTAGAACCCTCTTTGCATAATGTCGCGCCCCCCCCCCCC